TAGTAAAATCTGATTCTATTATTTTATTTTTAAATAGTATATTTAAAAATATTGAACTTTCTGTAGCAAAAACTTTTTGTATGAATCCTGTTTGCTAAGATTGTTATTTGCAAGGTCTTTGAAAAGGGTTTCTCGTAGGTCTTTTGTTTTTTTTCTACATAATCTGTGGGTCCTCTTTCTTTCTGCTGTCATGATTCATTAGTAATCTAATCTGTGAGCTTGCAGAATGTTAAGATTAACTATATTAACTGCATGCAAACGTATGATTTATAAGTACTAACACTCCGTTTTTATCATTCTTTTTATTTCATGTGCCATCATTCATTCTACTCCTATATTGTACATTTGAAATTGTACCCATAATATGAAATTCGCTTCATTTCCATACAATCCTTATGCCATTTGTGAAATGCTGCTGCCCCTTTGGTTTTTCCTGGTCCTTGTGCAACTATATGCGGACTGGCTCTCTCGCTCTCCTGCAGACCCAGCCCTCACTCTTCCTCCTATCTCCTTCAACAAACTTACACAGGCACAAACATGGGACAACTCTAGCTACAGTGTTCCATCTGAAGGAGACAGTGACAATGGTAGGTGGTTTTATACCTCTTCTTCAATGTGCTCAATAAAAAGCCAGTGAATATACTGAACATTCTCTTCTGTATGGCCAAAGATAGTATATTCACCTGCATGCCTGATGTAAGAAACAAGTAAATCTGGGGAGTGAAGTCCAGAAAAGTGCATGTGGATTGTTCCTAGAAGTATGTCAAACTACACATAATTATCTTGAATATATTGAATTTGGGGAAGACTTTGCATTAATTACTTCTCTGCCGTGGGTTTTTGGTTTGTTCGCTTGTTTACAAAAATTTAGAATTGCACATTTAGGTTTTCTCTGTTTCCTCCTGATTCTGAACAAAATGCTTTTTGAATTTGATCTTTTGTTTTCTATGCATATCATGAAATTTTTTAAGGTAATTAAGACACACTGTGTCTAATCCATGAGTGATACTGAAAGTGATGTTAACATTAAGAAGTTTCTACAAAAGAAATAACTGACTTCTTTACCAGCAAAGTATTTGCATAACTTGGCTTTTGTTACCTTTTACCATTTTGAGTGTTAGTTCACCTATCACTAATTGGAAAAGAACAATTTGACCTGAGAATCAAATATGAAATAAAAAATTGAAGACACCTAGTTACAATTCAGTGGATACCTTTTTATCTTTTATGTCATTAACTATCTTAGATAGCCTAAGCTATGAAAAGAAAATAAATTATTTAGATTTACAAACCACATACATATAAATCTCTAGTCTGATTTTAGTTCAGATTTTAAATAGTTTACTTCAAGATACAAAGAATTAAAACTAATAAGGAAGAGAAGTGTGACGTGAGGTATGAATCACAATACAAACTCAGTAGGAAATTAGATATTTTGATAATACTTTGGCTTTTATCTAAATATATGTAACACATAATAAATTGCTTTGATTACTGTCCCAAATTCAAACAAAAATGTTTTTTTCAGTTTTCATATGTAGAAGGTTAGAAACTAAAGAAGCTGTGCTGTTTGTATTCACATGTATATTTTAGCAGCTTAAAATTTTATTGTATAGATTTTTAAATGTTTTAGCTGAAAATAAGTGATTAAACAACTGTAAGAAAAATTCCTCTTTATGTCATTTATTTTCAATTCTGGAAGTTGAAGAGGGCTGAATGGAAACTTGCCTGATAAACATTTACCTTATATTTAAAGATCAAAAGAAGGGGTGAGGTATCTTGGGTTTCAGAAAACAGCTATTTATGACTCTGATGTTGTTTAAAGAAAATAAAGCCTACAATGAAAGATTTATGCATGATTTGGTATTTCCTTAGGAGTGATATCTGAAACCAAAGGGCCTTCTCTCCCCCACCCCCCATTTTAAGTTTGGAAGGATTCAGATATTTTGCATAGCAGTAGGGTGTGTGTCCCTGTGGATGAGCCAGCTACAGCCAGGAAGGGAGGTGGCTGCTTGGTCCAGCTGCTGGAGGTGCAGATGGGGACCCCTCCAGGGCTCCTAACTGCGGACCTGCATTCCGCCTACAGAGGCTTACTGAGGCTCTGTGCAAGCTTAAAGCCAAGCCACCCTCTTTTTATTAAAACCCCAAGGTTCCCACAGAAAATAATCATTGTGAGAATTTTTCTAAAAATAAGTAACTTTGCAGTATGCTTTGTGCAATTGTGCATTCCCACAACAATAGTAGAGGGATTATTTTCAATATCCCTGTAGTTTTGTCAGTCACATCAGATGGTCATCATATATCTACATTGCACTTTGTCTGTAATTTGTCTCTTTATACGCCCTGTGCAGAAATTTATTTTTAACAGACATTTGTATAAATTCTCAAATCTTTTCCATATGCTCTTCATTATCTTATTGCTAAAGCTTACTTTGTCTGTCGTTTGAATACATTTTTTAAGCTAAAGAAGCTATACTGTATTCACACAGGTACATAAGCTAATGTTGCAAGAGATACACAGAGTACATTTTATGGTATTCTTTACTGGTTCCTCTAAACTAAGAGAGTCCTTCCTGCAGCCTTTCTGAGCATTTCGGTGCTGATTGCTACATTTTTGTGTGTGTGTGCATATTTCCTCCATGTTCTGATATCTTCAACTTTTCGACCCTTCTAAATTTCAAGATACAAAGAAATGAAACTAGTAGGGAAGGGAACTGTGATGTGAGGCATGAATCACAATACAAACTCAATAGGAAATTCGGAAATTCATGGCATTTTACTAGCAAGTGACCTAGCATATTATGCTTGCTTTAGTTTATAATATTTAATTACTATTATAAATTGTAAAATTGGCATTTTATGCCTTTTCATTGTCTTCCTTTGTATTAAAATTCCCTTTTATCTAAAATTTTCTGAATATTTAGTTCCAGGTGTATCTCATTTTAAATTCCCTATTTCTCTAAAACTCATTTTTCAAAGAAATTAAAAAAAAAAAAAAAAAAGCCCTGCACCATGGCTACAAGATTCCTAGAAGTTTGAAGTTCTATAATCCCTCAGATTCCGTCTCCTAAAATGGAGGAGGAAGCTGTGGAAGTGTGGTTAGGTCTGTTGGCCAGTCAGTCCCTGGGCTGGGTGGAGCAAAGTCTCTGCAGTTTGTTCATAATTTACAGACTTGCACTGTCCCCTGCCCCTGTGCTGAATTACTGCTCTGCATCTTTCTTTCCTTTCTCCTTTCATTTGAAGTTAAAATCATTCATACCTTCTTTGGACTCATTTTTTTTTTCTTTTCTCATTAGTGAAGTGTTTTTGGTACCTAATTAATATTAATTGAAAAATTGACCCTTGAATTAACATTGGAGAATGAATGGACAGACATATGCACTTTGGGCCTGTTTAATAGTCGTCATCTTGATTTTTTTTTTTTTTTATAGTCATCTCACACTTACATGTATAACTTTCCCTGTTACAATGAAATGAGGCAACTAAGACTGTAAGAAGTGCTTCAGTGGTATTTTAAATCTGGGCATTTAAAAAAACTATTTGTAAAGTGAAGAATGGTGTTTAATATATGTGTGTGTGTGTGTGTGTGTGTATTTAAAACTATGTGTACTTATGCCCATATTCAGAGCTACTAATACATTTGGTGTACCATAGGTCTGTGTACTGATTTTTTTTTACTTGATCTTTATCAAGTAAAAATGAAATCAATTTGTTAATTGATCTTAATCTATGGTGATGTGAATTTCAAGTGAGTTCACTTGAAACTAAGCTGCCTGAGACCATAGAGAAGAAGTTTGAACATCTTGAGCACAGAAAATATATATAACTCATTTTGGGACTTTGGAAGGCAGTAAATAAATGTGCTGGACAGATTTTTAATTCTGATTAAGCATAAATCAAAAGCATATGATATTTTTTCAAAGGGCATAATCACACCCAGTCCAAGTTCTTAATCTCATGTGTCCACAGAAAACACATCTCCTCTCATTTAGTTAAATTTAGGTATTAAAGTATAATAAGTATAGACTGATACTTCTCTGTATGAAGAGTACATTTCATGTAATAGGTAGCATTTCAGGCAAATTTTAGACCAGCAGACTTACTTTGCCTAAGTAAAAGATATCCTTACAACAATTCGAGAAATGCACACACACGCATCTTTGATGTCCTTGAGTACCCACTGTGTATTAGACATGGTGCTTATTACCTTGGGTACAGCTGAAAATCACTGCTTTCAGGGATCCTATATTTAAAGTCTAATGCATTCAGACCTAGAACTAAATAAACTTCAGAACATTTTTCAACGTAGAAAATTTTCAAATTATCATGGTAAGATAATCCCACAAAGATACTGTCAAACTAGACTGATTTTTAAATGAAGGAATTTTTGAAGCACTGGTTTCATGTATTCAATCAGCAAACTACTTTGTGAATGAAAAACAGCGGTAGAAATTTGATAAATGACATTTACTAAATAGATTACAAATAAGAGCAGTCTTATCGGTTGTTCTAGTGTTATTTTTTGAAACATACTAATTAAACAGTTAAGCAGAACTTATTTCTTCCTCCATCTTATATTGCCTGACTTCTGTCTCTTCTCTGCCTTAGATAAGTATTTTTGTGCTCCTAAGTGTGCACACAGACATATCTTTTTCTTTTCTTACTGTATTTAAATCGGAGTGGCATTTGATTCAGAAAACATGTAATAACCGTGCTGCACTTTTTAATTTTGTCATGTAGCCTCAAGTTAAATTTTTATTCTAGTGAAATAGGGTGTTAAAATTGAACTTGAGTTGATGATTCAGTGATATGAAATTAAGGAAAACAGAATAATTATTCAATAGATCAGTGCCTTGAAGCTCTGACACAGTGTTCATTGAATTTTTAAATATGACTAGAAAGAAAACTTTAAAAAAAACCTTAGCTAAGAGAGCTATTATAATGTCCCATTAAACTATTCTGTCATGACAAGTATATATACTCTGTAGATTTATTATTAGCCTAAAGATGTTGTTTGGCATTGTCATATATTCCAGAATAATTAATGCATTTAGAAAACTAGTAATATTATAATCATAGCTTCTAAATTGATAAACATTTGAAGTATTCACTGCAGTTCAAATGCGTTTTGCTTTACATTCATGGAACAAATACTGAAACATGAATTTTGTTTTTGTCATATGCATAATACCACCAGAAAATTAAAACGCAGACATCACTGCATATCTTGTTTTCTCACATAGGTCTCTATCTAACAAGGCTTAGATTGTATGCTGTTTAACAAAAGCCCATGGTTAATTTAACTTCCTGATAGTTTCATATTCAGAATGAAATCTGCCAATAAAAACATATTGAAAATATTAAACATGCAATATTAGATAAGATTGCCCCCAGAAAAAAAAGCAAAGGAAAATAAAACCTCCAAGAAAAACATTACATTTGTTTAGACGGTGTTGGGGCGCCCCCTTGCCGGCTGATGTGTGTATCATTCAACTCTGTCCACATTCCTTGACTTTTTTGGTAAATTTAGTAGACTTCTTTTCTGTGGGAATGTGGATTATTTCTAGAGTCCACACAATTTTAAATTTTGCTACCTTTAACGGGGTAGTTTTTTTTTATTGTGCTATAACTTGTGTAGAGGCAAGTTTTATATGTTTCCAAGCTTCCTATTTTGTCAGACTTCTCTTCATTTCCCTGCTGAGACTTCCTTTGCTGACCTTGCCTTTATTTTTGAAACAACTGGTCTCACTTCCTATGGGGTTTGATTTTGTTTGACTTTCGACTTCGATGACATGCCATGGTTGGCTTTTTTTTTTTGTTTTTTTTTTTTTTTTTTTTTTTTTTGGCTGTGATCTCCCTGGGTGTCTTGAAGAAGGCCCTGGTCCCAGGTTGTCTCCTCTCTGAGGGTGTGTGTACATTAAATTATCCTCTTTCTACATGAATTATGGATAAAGGTCAAGTGTTTATTAAAATGCACGCCTTATGATCTTCCACAAGGACATAAAAATGCTGCTTTAAATATCCTAAAGCTAACACAGAAAGAAAGTGTTTAATTTAAATACAAATTAAATACAAATGGTTCTCTGTGCCAATCAGTTCTGGGTACTCTATAAAGGCCTTTTTTTTTTTTTTCTTTCTCTGTTATAGTGTTTCTAAGACCTCAGAGAAATTTGGAATCTATAGATCCTCAGTTTACAATTCGGAGAAAAATGGAACAGCTGAGAGAAGAAAAAGAATTGGTGGAACAACTCCGTGAGGTACCCAGGGAATACGTTACTGATAATAGCTTTCAGATGGAAGCAACTATTTGTACATTTTTTAAAAACAGACTTTTAAGCACTGCAGATTCATTGGCATTAGTTATTACAGATAACACATCACAAATTCTAAACAAATTCTTTATGTTCAAATAGAAATACAATAGCTGTGGACCAAACTTATTGGAAGAGACAGAAAATATGCTACATCTTCCTTCACTACCAAATGATTATTGACATCTGACTACTCTGCACCAGGCAGTATTCTAGGTGATGGGCAGAGGAGACAGTAAAAAGGTCTCTGTTCTTCTGAAGCCTGCAGTCAGTCAGGAAGAAACAACAAATGAGATGGAAGCAAATAAACAAACAGTTTTAGATAGCAACAAGTTCTACATATGAGCAAAGGATCTTGTAATTTAAAGTTAACTTAAGATCCGTCAGCTTCTTTGTGTTGCAGTTCATATGTGGCTTAGCAGGTTGTCAGGAGGGAAGGATCAGCAACACTAGAGCCTCTTTCCAGAACTGTTGGTTGATTCAGCAGTCACACCAGGAGTCTCACTTCCGTCATTTACCCAGAGTATATGGAAAGTGAACTTTCAGAGATTTGTGAAAGTAACATCAGAAGCTGAGCTATGCCCCTCAAAGTGTGCAATAATTTCATCTCAAAGTCTCGGTCTTTCTGATTATTAAGTTTCAGTTTAGTGTTAAGGTGACTAATGTCAGGCTTATTACAGCTCAGCAAGACAGAAAATTTACAGACAGTGAACACTGAACTCCAGCCAAACACTCTGAAAAACTGTGACCCCACCCTTATCCTTGCCAGCAAAGACAGTATAGGCTAGACTCAGAGAAGGCCAAGTCAAGAGCCAGGAAGCTCACCCCCACTGCTCCACTGCCAGCTGGGAATGAGCTTATCTGCTTTGTTGGCATCATGGAGACTAGATGGGGAATCTGTATTTCCATCCCCTAGACAACTGAGACCAAGTGCAAAGTCACTCAGTAGTAACAAAGTGGTAACCCCCTTTCCCTACGGCAGTGTATCCAAAGAAGCCACTTAAAATAGAAGGTTTAAAAAGATCCAGTCTCGTGACACAAAAATGTCCAGTTTTCAGCCAAAAATCACTGTCCTGCCAAGAACAGAAGATCTCAAACTGAATGCAAAAAAAGCAATCAAGAGATGGCATAACAATTATGACAGATTTTAAAGCGAGCATGAGAAAATGTAATTCAACAATTACAAACATGGTTAAAAACAAAGCATAAAATAGAAGAAACACCCCAGCCAAAGGAATAATAATAACAAGGAAATAGAAGACATAATGGAGTCTAATGGAAAGAACCTAATAAAAATTCAGAACAAAAAAATACATCATTCAAAATAAAAAGTCCAGTGGATGGAATTAAAATCAGAATGGAGATGACACAAGAGAATGAATGGACTGGAAGAAAGAATAGAAATCATCTGATTTGAACAACAAAATGTAAAGGACTGAAAATAAATGAACAAGTCCTCTGTCAGAATGTAACAAAATAGTAACATTTATACCAAGGGAGGTCTGAAAGGAAAAAGAGCATGTGGAAGAATACTTGCATGTAGGGGAGAAGAGGGTGTGGTTATTAAAAGGCAAGATGATCTTTCTTTGTAATGCTGAGAATGTTTTGCCAGTGTCTGTGTCCCAGTTGTGATATTGTAGCTACTTTTGCAGGTTGCTCCCTGGAAGGTGGAGGGTGGGAGTACTTGGGATTTCTTTGTATTATTATAACTGCATATGAATATATAATTTGAAAACAAGTTAAATTTTGAAAAGAGGAAGAAAAATGTATTTATTTATTTAAGAAAATTTATTTCTCAGCTAAAACACAATCTAAGAGAAAAGCATCCCTTTAATACTTCTGCTTTTTGCAGCCTGACTGAACAAGCTGGATTTAGTTTTTATTTTAATTAACTCTGGTTTTATATCTTGATGGTCAAGATCAAGACAGCATTGAACTAAAGAAGTCATTCCATTAGCTCTTTATGTTCAGTAAATTAAAAAATGCTAAGCACAACTCAAATAACTTTTTTCTACAGAAGATGTTCTACTTTATATCTCTGGAAGAGATTTATCAGTGAATAATGTCAGTGTCTTACAGGTGCTCTTATCCTCTCCCCCCATAATCAAATGGGATATCAGAATTCACAGACACTTGTATCTGTACTTTCCTTTCAGTTGGCTTGCTTCTGATTGTCTCCACAGAGCATCGAGATGAGGCTCAAGGTGACCCTGCACGAGGACCTGGGGGCTGCACTCATGGACGGCGTGGTCCTCTGCCACCTGGTGAACCACATCCGCCCGCGCTCTGTGGCGAGCATCCATGTCCCCTCCCCAGCAGTGGTAGGTCACATCACATAAAGGGAACCCAGCTTTTACACAGAGCAAACTGTTTTATGTGACATGGAGCAGTGTTGCTGGTTTTAGCTGCTAATAAGGTCACCAGGACAATGCTCAAACCTTGTGGGGTCTGGTCCACTAGAAACACAGAAAACGGACAGTCTGAGGAAAGTAACATTTTCACAGTAAAAGAAAGGTTTAAAATTAGTACATAAATGACAGGAAAAGAATTTGTTTTAGATATAAGGGAAGTCATATTAAATTAAGCAATAGCTGGTTGGAGTGCTAGTTTTCAAACTAGAGACATACAGATTCATTTCTCAGGGGATTATTCAAAACGTGGGAAGTCTTCAGAAACATTTAGGGGAGGGGGATTTGGTGACTTCTTTTCTAAATGAAATCTTTCCCTTCATTAGTCAGTGGGTGGAAAGATGCAGGTTCTATATAAAATCATGAATATTCTGTCAAGGGAGAGGTTGATCCGTCGTCATCAATTCATCAGTTCTCCAGCATTTATTGGAAACTGAGGACACGACGGGGAAGGCGCTCTCAACATGCTTACCTCCCTTGCAGAATAGATAAGGCTGGCCCCTGGTGTCCCTGCCTATATACCTCAGAATGAGAGGTGTGTCTCTCATCCAGAAGAGAGACTACAAAATCAGTTCTGTGAACATTTAAATGAGGGTGGGGAATCAGACAGAAGCTTGCCTTTGGTGCCTACATAGGATTTATATAAATAGAAAAGAAGGAACTGATCCCATCTACACTATTTAGCATTCACTTAGAGAGATAGAAAAGTTTAAGGACTACAGAATGTAGGGTTTGGATGAAGAGCCCAGATTTTACCTCTCTGTGACTGCTTCCCCCTAATGCAAGTGTTCGGGATGTGTGACATGTGCCATACACACACACACGAAAGTCATTGTTATCATTAGTGATTTTGGAGCAGATTCTCACAATTCAGAGACCGTGTCTTGAGATAATAGTATTCATAAAATATTGTATAATAGGTGTGCCGAGTGAAAGCCTCCCGTGAAACCCTTCTGCTCGCCTCACGTCCCAGGGACTGACTGGCCAGCAGACCTACCACACTGCCACAGTTTCCCCTCTATCTTAGGAGGTGGAATTTGAGGGATTATAGAAATTCAAATTTCTAGGAAACTTGTACCCATCTTGCAGGGTTTCTTTCTTTCTTCTTTTTTTTTTTTAATATCTTTGAAGAATGAGTTTTAGAGAAACTAGGGAATTTAAAATGAGATATATCTAGAACTAAATATTGGGAAGAATTTAGATAAAAGGGCATTTTAATGCAAAGCAAGACAATGAAAAGGCATTAAAAGACCAATTTTACAATTTAAGCTTTGTGCACCCTACCATTTTCAGTGTGCTGCTGCTTTTTAATTTAAGCTTTGATGGACAGGCCTTTATTTGGCCTAGTGAATTTAATCCTTCATATAGAAACATATTTGCTGATGTGGGAAAAGGTGATCTTTATGGTGTATTTTTAGGTGAGCTAAAATACTGCTGTTTACACAATAGTATGTTCCCATAAAAGTTGTGAGTATACAGGTGTATGTGTATGTGTGTATGTCTGTGTGTAAACACAGAAATATACATACCCCAAACACTTAAAAGCATGCATTCATATATGCATACATTACACACACATATTTGTGTGTTTCCTTGTATATGCGTATACTCACATACCTTTTCTGCATAAATAAAATCTAAAATGTTAATAGATCTTATGTCTGTATAGACATTTATGGTTAGTTTTTCTTCTGTTTGCTTATGCTTTTTGTTCCAATAAAAATGTCTTGCCTGCAATGTTTAAAATTTAACTAGTTTTGCACCTTAACTACCCAATGATAGAGAAATGGATAAAAAAAGATGCGGTATACTCACACAATGCAATATTACTCAACTCTAACGAAAGATAAAATTGTTCCCAATTATAGCAACATAAAGTCACATATTGAATGTTTTCATATATATGTGTAAAATAAGGAACCATAGCAGATGTACTGACTGTACTGACAAAGGCAAAGTAATCATAAACTTACAGACATTTATAAACAAAGTGAGGTTTCTGAGGCTGGGAGGGAGAGGGAGGATGGGTCAAAAGGGCTTAAGGGTTGGTGGTGGGGAGAAGAAAAAGTCTGTGATATTAGAGAGGAAAATTTAACCTTATAATTAAAATATTTCTCTTTTAATAATTCATTATTTCTGCATATTTCCAGCCCAAACTTAGCATGGCAAAATGCAGAAGAAATGTGGAAAACTTTTTGGAAGCATGCCGAAAATTAGGAGTGCCAGAGGTAACATCAACCTTAGTCCAAATAACCATGTTTTAGTAAAGATTTTATTTAACATCTTTGCTTGAACCCACTGAATCCTTGTACAATGCATCATTCTTGAGGAATAGCATCAGAAAGATTATAAAATTTGTTTAAATTTTTCTATTGCAGTGAAATTAAGATGATTTTAACAGTATATTCAATTCTCAGAATAAAAAGGGGTTATAGTTTCTTTAAGATTTTTAAGCAAATGCAAATTTCCAAACTTAAAAAAAAAAATAGCTTGATTTTCTAGTACAGGTACAGAAATTCCTGAGGCTTAAGTGAGCCTTTACCAAGTCCCATAGTGTAGAATTTTGGAGCTAGTGGAGTTTTCTATCCAAAGCTCTTAAGCAAAGCTAACCTGTAGTTGACTACTTATTTGTTGATTTTCATTCCCTAGCTTCATTTTAACTATACGGATCAAAAATATCAGCTCTAGGAATATTATAATTAATGTTATTAATGTTGATCACCACCATTACTAACAGTAATGTTTTATCATTTGTTATTTGTATTTATATTTTCCCCTTTGGTCCATGTTAAATCAAATTGACAAATACCCTTTAATGCCAGCCCAAAAATAGTTTGTTGCTTTTTAATCTCCCAGGCTAAACCCCAAAGGCAGCCTCAGTAAGTGGCTGGTTTGGGGCTTTTAAAGAGAAGTAGGCAATAGCAATGTTAATTTATTTCTTGGGGAGACAAAAGCCAATCCATTGAGAATTTAGGGGTAAGGTGACATATTTGTCATCATGTGATAAGCAGAAATGGACAGAAACTGTATTTATTATTTTCCTCTATCATTGCTAATGTTCCAGGGATAAAGTAACTACTTTATCAGGAGAATGTGTTTCTCAGTATATGAAAGAACTAATTACATTTCAATGTAATTCTACTCCTGATGATTTAATTGTGGAACTTGAAAAGGCTTTTCTCCCTCCCACTCCCTTTTCTCCATCTGCCCTCCCTTTGTCCATCCCTTCCTCCCTTCTTCCCTCCCTCTCCTTCCTTCCTTGTCACTCTTCCTATTCCTTAGCTTATTAAGTTTGAAGATAAGAGGTGACTGTGGGCTTTGTATCTTATTGGAAGAAAATAATTATTAAAGCATCTGTAAGTCAGATGTATAGCAATAAAAAAAGGTTTACAAATTCATTTTTTAAAGAGTGTAATCTTTATATAATGGACTAAATGTCCTTGTGACCAATTCAGATGTCTTTCAGTGTTAATCTGTGTGTCTGTTTTGTATGTGTACATTTCAATATTGTATATACATTCTTGACTAAAAATGTTTGTGAACTTTTTTTATATCCAAAAAGAGAGGTTTATTATATTAAAAAATGAAAGAAGACAACATTTATACAAACACAGCAGATAGGAAGAATTGCAAATTCTCCTACACATACTTTTTTGATTATTTGATTCTGTCACAGACTCATAAAATTTCCTATGTGTAAATCAAGTTATCATTTCAAGTTTCAGGTGGTAAATTATTTGTGTCTTTACTACATAGGACTGATGAGTTATGACCTAATCCCCTGTGACATTTTTAAACTCATCAAACTTGTCTCGGCTTATGGTGTTAAAAAATGAAATGGAAATGCTCTTTACCACTTAGTGTGAGTAAAGATTAGTAATTATAATTTCCTTTTAAAGGGAGGAAAGGAAATTAAATTACCATTAGTATGCAGAGAAAAATGTACCAGTTTCTTAATTATGTTCCATCATTAATAGCTGAAAAGACCGAGTTACAAAGAGCAAATGATGTTTTTTTCCCAATGTCCCACTCAACCATACTTAATAAGAAGTGTCGTGTTAGCTGCTGATATTGTTAAAATTAAGTTTTAGGTCTGAAGGGATTTTCAAGTCGCCCTGATGTGTGTGTCTACATGCCCAGGTGTCTATGTGTGTTTGTACCTGCAGGCCCACTCTAATGAATAATCCAGTAGCATTTTACTGATCCCTAGGATTATGCTAAATTGATTGCTACTAGAAAAAAATATGTTAGTTAGATAGCAGCAATTCAACTTCTTTAACAAAGTGTGTGAAGGAAAGGAAGGGATTGTCTAGTAGAAAAGCAGAAGTTACCAAGTGAAAGGCAAATCTTTCTGTATATTCAGAGTCACATGCCATCTCCTTGAATGTGCCAGCACAGTCAATTGGAACTAAAGCAATGTTTTCAACTAGAACTATGATACTAAATTGGGAGTCACATGACCTCCTGCCCCTTAGATAGTTATATTGCTCTCAGCACTTAAGAAGGTTGGTACTTTGAGAATGTATATGGCACACTGCAACTGTTGATTTACACTGAAAAGATAATCATAAGGTAGTTGCAGAAATTCACTTACAATTTTTAAAGAGTGGTACTTTGAAAAACCTATAATAATACTTCATCCTGTCGTCATCAAATTAGTAGCTAGATAATAAAATACTCATTGATTTCTAGTAACAACATAGTTAATTACTCCTAACCTGAAAAATTTTCTTTTCTTTTGTAACTTACATGTACTCTTTCATGTCCTAAAGCAAGAGTTCTGTTTTTTATCACACACTTAATTTCTAATATCTAAATGAATTATAATAGTCATCTGTAGAGACTGAAAAGTCGCAACTGTGACTAGTCCAAAAACTTTTGCCCTTTGCAAAAAAGAAAAATCAGTTTGAAACTACAGGCCAAAGTCAGAGTTGGTAGTTTACTTTCATTTGGTTTATGATATAGATGGAATACAAGAGCTGAACAGATAGAGTTAAATCACTACATATAAAGAAATGTAATGAGATGGAAACCATTTCAAAGTTGTTCCAATGTTATACTTTCTTGTATTTCCTTTAGAATTCCCCATGGACACAATTGCTGTGTCTGCCTTAGGGCTGGTCAAGGCTCATGAAGCATTTCAATGTGTGCTCTAGTGAAGTGGTTCTGTGTGGTATAGTAGCGTTGGCTACTTGGAATTGACTGCTTTCATAACTGTGAATAGCTCAGTTTATTTGCAAAAGGTTACAGTAAACAGTAGACGGTAAGGTAACTCTGGACCTCTGGTCATTCATTACCTGGGGTGTTTGCATCCACACCCTTGAATCTTAGTCCAGGGATATAGACAGAGTTTGGACCACTGGTGACAGAAAGGAAATGACATCACAGAAAGTTGGTGATGGGGTGCTCGAGAAATTCCAGTAGAGTGATAGGAGGCATGTTTGCCCTCACTGAAGGATTCTCAGATGAGGCAGAGGCTTGCTCGCAAGTGTCTTTGTCTGTGTAAGGTATGGTATTTCTTCATATACTAATTTCAGCTCATTTCAAGTGCCTTGGATTCTTGTTTTTTGTTTTTCTCTTTGGCACCAGTTGCCCAACTAATCAGATACAAGTTGTATGCAAATAACCTGGAGGAGTGAGAGTGAGTGAACAGTATCTCTGGGTAAAGCAAGAGAATGCATGAGGTTTGTGCTGTTAACTAGTCATACATCCTGAGGTAAACATCTTAAAACTAGATAAACCAGTTATCAGACTCCTTAAACGTCACCATCTCTAATGCTCACATCCAAGATACATAGCTATTTTATATCTGAGGAAACTGAATCCAGAGAAGTTGAAGTATTTGCTAAGCTCACATTCAGAGTGTCCAGTAGCAGAGCTGGGCATGTGCACTCAGGACTGTCAGAATCAAGAGCCTACCCCCTTTCTAGCACACACATAGCCTCTCTGTGGCTGAGTTGTCTCCCCTGCAAACTGTAGGTGCTGAACTTCAGCAGTGGATTTAAGCATTCTCCAAAGAGGGCCGGAGATGTAGGAAAGTCACCTGGGGAAGCTCCAGCCAGCTCCCACACAAGCTTCAGCCAGAGCAGCTTCTCCTTTGTTCCATAGCGTATATTAGATTTTCAGTTAAAATTTTCTTTACGGGGGCAAAGGTGTTCTATTGTTAAACATGCTTTGAAAAATCACTGCATTTCCTCAGGTTTCTTTTGAACTCTTAATATTCTACAAAAGTATAACTACATTCTGCAGTTCCACAGTTGCTTCCCCCTCCCCCCCAATCATCTGCTTAGCTGCAGGAGAATGACTGCAGGCATCATGGCATGCTCAGAAACCTGGGCAGTAGGTGATGGTACAGGGACTATCCCATAGCCCTTGCAGTACTGATATCAGTATTCAGTTAACTACACAGCCACCTTCGACCTCTGGGTAGAACTGATGACTCGCTCTTGAAAATCACAGCCTTTAACTGGGTTTCCACACTTTCACGATACATGCTGTGTTCCACTCAAGAATTCAGTTCTGGTTTAAGCGTTGGGGTGATGACACTATCGTCACAATGAAGCTTCCTTAGACTTTTCTTGGTTTGTTCATCCCTGGTTTCTATCCTTGATGTAAAGGATTCCTTCTTAGCTTTTGGGTATTTACAAATTGATCCAAATTTAGGGGTTTTTTAGGGCTCTTATTAGTATTGTCTTAGCTTAAGAGGAATCTCAATTATGAAGCATCAAACATATTAGAAAAAAAAACATGATTTGGTTCACCAGGGTATGATTTCCATTCAATTTTAGTTAAGTTGTCTGCAAAAGTCTCAGGCCTTTGTAAGAACAAGGTCATTAATTTAGCAGATTTGTCCTCTTTATAAAAGGAGGGCACTTCCTAGCCCTTCATCATCACTGTTGTCTCTAGAAAGGAATTAGAGGAGTCCGGGCAGGACTTGGTTGAGGCGTAGACGCCTGGCAGCCCTGGCTACTCCCTGCCCGTCTGCTAATGCAGAGCCTGAGGCTGTGAGCTCCCCCTGAGGTGCGTCTGTGTGCGCAGGGCAGGTGGCTTGGCATCCCCAGCCACTACAGCCTCCAGGTTGAGTTTCAAAACCAGTTTCAGATGCTAGCAATGACTCTATCAGTATAAGCTGATTTCTGGCCAAGTCTTTTCAGCACCTTTCCCGTTTTGTTGCCTTTTATAATGCGATATTATATTTGAAAGTAATAGTGATAATTTTTTCCTAATTTTGTACCTGCTGTGAAAGTTTAGAAAATTATAGTTATGTAGCTGACTTAAATCTTTTTTATTCAAAGAATTCAATACACTGAAATGACTATTTCTGTCATTGGAAGACTTGGAAAAGTAAATTCCTTCTCTCTGGGCCAATTTTTCATAGATACTGGTTGATACTGAGGTTGCCAATCAGAGATGGAGACTGATACATTTAACATTTTATTGACATCAAATTTAAATTCAATATTTATTCAAATGAACTAGCTTCTGGCTTGTGAAAGCAACCATGTTTTCATAGGTAGTATGTGTGTATCATTCCTGGAGAAATCCTTTCCCACTCGTGTCCTGGTGGCAAGGTCATGCCCAGTCACATCTGGTCAGTGTTCTGAAAGCCTTTTAGAAGTGCATGGTTGAAAATAGACATTTTAGAAGCAGCGTCTTCAAAAAGTTTTAAATTAGAATTTTAGATAAATTTGCCTACTGATAGGATTATCCTGTGAGTTTATGAAATTGGCAGTCAGTTCTTGTATGTTTAGAGAAATCAACTGAAAATCCTCCCCTCCAGATCAAGTTACTCCTTATCAGCTAGGGCTTTCAATTCTCATAACAATGACCAACAGTCCTGAGCAAACATATTTTCAATTTAGAAAATAGTTTGTAAGATATTTTCTCTGAACATTGAAATTAACTTCAAATATATTGAATATATTATATATATCGCAAATCTCTTAGGATTCAAACTGTATTACAGTCTGAGTGTCTATAAACTAGACCATTGTCAGATCTATGTGCATTTCCCTTTGTGTCTGTAGCATTGGAGGAATCTTTATGGTAATCTCAGTCTGTCTTTTGTGTTGACTATAAGAGAATCCATTAACCTCTGGTGATTGTAATTTCCGTTCACTGTCATGTGCATTACCACAGCACTTGCTCTGGGGACTCCTGAGTGCAGTCACTGTTTTTCAGAAGCCTTGATGCTCTGTAATATGTGCTAAGATTTTGCCTCTTTACATTTCCTTCCTCTTTAGTATTTTATTTTAATTTTAAGAGGAAAATATAACCTCTAAGTCCCTTTCATTAAGAATGGAATTTCGAAAGCCTGAGGGTCAGAAAAATCCCAGGTTCCCTTAGCAGTTTTAGCCCTGGTTTCCATCAAGGACCCTGCAGAGCCTGGCTGATCTAACAGCTGAGCTGTGGGTTAGGTAGGGGTGGGGGTGTCTCTGAGAGCAAACCTGGAGGCCACTGTGGCCCACACTCGACACATCAAGGTGATTCCAATTTTTGCCACCAGACAATCTTCAACCCATGCCTTTCCTTCAGAGATCGTAATTTAATTTAAATAAACCATCATAGACTATTATCTCAGATTCTACCCAGTTTAATCTGAATCAAGCCCAGATAATGTGACATATGGAATTATTTCCAGGATGGGAAGAATGGTCTTTGTTAGCTCCCAGCATAGGGGTGTACTACTAGTTAGCATACCGAGAGCCGCTAAGGCCATCTGAGTTGAGTTCTTTGATAGACTTGCTGTGAAGCAGAATGAACATTTTCCATAGGGTTCTGGGAAATGTGTTGACATGTTTGCTGGAGATTTAATGATTTTCCTTAACACAGAAATACCACTTTGTCGAAATCACATTTCAGTTTGTAAATGCCTTCTGTTTTCTGTCTGCTTTGCTCAGATTTCACTGGTTAAGCACAGCATTGCAATAGAAAATTCTTATTGCAATAGAAAACTTTAATTGTAGATGTTTCCCTATCTGTTGATCCTTGACCAGCGTCTTTCTCCAATGAAGTGCAATCTCTGTGTAGCTGTTTTAAAACTTGGGAAAATAATAGCTTGATTTCTCCAAATCCACTGAGAAAGGATATACTGTCTGCTATTATAAAGTAGTTCGTTAATATCTGTAAAGTGCTTTAAAGAATATCTTTACCTTCATATATTAAAATAAAATTGGAATTTGTTTAAGCTTATTGAGACCACTTGATATTGTGGTATTACTACTTACCTGAGGACATCAAGCTAACTTCAGAGGATACAAAACAATCTCTGTGTTGGACTCATCATTCATTTGCTGAACCAAAGCAATATTGTAGCAAACATATGTTATGAAATACATGTTAACTATATTTTAAACGCTTTACATGATTTGGAAATAAAACTGCACTTGTGAAATGAATCACAGCTATGTTCAGTGCTTGTTCAAAAACCACAGTTTTTCTATCATACTGACATATCATTTAAAGTCATTATTAATTCTATGCTGTGGTTATTTCTGGTTCAGAAATTTCATGATCAGAAAATTGCTTTCTGATAGCAGTAGGCATCTAGACATCAATTAATACAACTGAGCATTTTATGGTTGTATTTAGTTGATAAGAGTTTTGCTTCCTTATACGGCAACTATCAAGTAGACAAAAATGGGGGTGCCCACTCCCACAACTGTTTAGTGGTGCAACAATCTATATAATAACCCTACCTTGGAATGCACTTTGTTATATTTACTTATCTAAGAAGGCTCTTGATACTATTAAGTATAGTTGCAAAAATAGGAAATTTAATGTGCTAATTTATTTTCTTATACATGTAGGGACATAATTAGAACTAGTATTTGCCAGAGTTTATCAGCAATCCTAAAACAAAAATAAATTTGATATGTATGTTACCTTTCAGAGAGAAATACATATTATATTCATTCTTCATAGACCAATACATTTAAGAGAATGGTAAAGATGTGGGATGGGGATTAAACTGGACAATTTATATTTTTTCTTAGTACAATTTCAATAAGACATGTTGGGTATGCCACTTTTCTTTTGTAATGGAATTGAAATATTTTTGATGGTGGAATGGGTTTTACCTGCTTGAAATAAAGGATTTCCTTTGCCATTTGCTAGTAACCAAAAATGTGTGCTTCTTTCCAGCTGTTCTTCTGTGTATTTTTAATTGTATGCACTGTCTTTTTCTGTTCTAATGGCTGCCCTCGGAATAGGCTGACCTCTGCTCTCCGTATGACATCCTGCACTTGGATTTTCGTCACATTCGAAAGACTGTTGACACTCTGCTGGCACTCAGGGAGAAACCCCCACAATCAACTTCTGCCCTCCGCTCCAGGGACCTTATAAGCTTCTTTCTTGTCCATATTCTCTTTATAGTGCTGATCTATATAACTTACTGCTGGAATGCTCTGTCCACCTAAGTGCATGTGCATCTACTGCTCCATCACCCTGGCTATCACAGGCTCTTCCTCCATTTGAGTGTTTGCCTTGCAAACTTCCATCCCTGTCATCTCTCCAGTAACTTCTCAAGCTCTGAAGCTGAACACTTACAAGTCAGATTTTCCAGAAGCACAAACTTTATAGGATACAGTTCCCATAAAATAATTTCTGTCACAGAAAAGAGAGGGGGAAGGTATCCATCCTCATGCTTCCTCATCCTCATAGTGCCAGCAGCAGTGCTATGCAGGTCTCTTCTCTCTCGCCCAGTGAGCTTGTATCTGCCCTGGGTACAGTGGGAGAAGGTTCCAGAACAGGAGCAGAGGGGATTTAGCATATGAAAATCTTTCCTTTGGGCCAATATTAAGTCAAATTCTAATCCAGGAGTGGGTAGTGGAGCTGTGCAGGGGCCACCTTGCAGAAGACACAGAAAGCCAATATTTGGGGTTTACTTGGTCTCTAAAAGACCTCAATAATACCTCTGTTGACAGAATTGAAAAATACTATCTGGAGAATGTTTTGCTGACCATTCGATCAGAGTCCACCCTGTGCCCTTCAGTAGGGCACCAGGGAGGCTGCCACCTACTTCCACCCTGAGGGAGCCCCTCTGCCCTGCTGCATGTGGCAAAGCTGTGCAGAAGGGGTGCTGGAGAAGGGTCTACTGCTGTTAGAGCGCCGCCTGGTGGATTCGCTTGCACAGCTGTTTTTCTGTCCTACTTTTTGTTAGGTCTACTCTGAGACTAAGGAAAACCAAGAAAGGATTTCTATATTTAAGTAATGTAGTGGGTTGTTTTGATTTTTCGCTACATCACATCATAACTACAAGACCAAAATATGATGAATTTGACTGTTTATTCATTTTCAAATAAAGTCATGAGGCATGGAACAGTCTTGTTCCTGGAGCGTGGATTTCTATGTCAGAAGGCAGTAATGGGATTGCCCTCATTTTAAATGAAGTTTCTCTAGTACTTGAAATTTCCACTTAGCCTTTGATTTCCAGTGAATTTACTGCCAATTTACTTTATTTTTAAGCAAACTGTGAAGATTATATATTATATTTGTTTTGGGAATAATGTGATCAGTTTCAAATTAAAAGAAAAAAAAACAGTTAGAATCTTATTGAAGTCAGGGTATTCCTGGTGTGGGATGTCTTCGTATTATATGAGAAGGTCCTGCTCCCAGGTGTAGACAGTCTTCCCTTAGATTTACATCTAGTTGCCAAATACTGCTTCTTATATTGGGAAGCTGATAGAATTTAGAATTAATTCCCTCAAGATAAATTTCTCGTTTACTAAGTTGCAAGTAGCCATCATAAATGGCTAGTAAGAAGATGATCTTATTTTTCTGAACATTTCCATAAATCCAGGGGACTTGAGAATATGGAAAACCCACATGTTTAAAGAGTATATTTATAAAGAGTCTTTGCTGTTAAATCATATCAGATTTCCTAACAGGAAATATTCTTTACATGATAGTATCTTGAATGAACTGAGCTTTATCCTCCTCCCCCAAGCCCCCCAACTTTGTCTTGACTGGTGAAATACAGACTGTGGAAGTTACCTAACTAACCTCAGTTGTGTATAAGTAACTGGTAGATGTACTGAATTACCTTTAGTCCAATCATGTACTCTTTATTCTGTAACACAAATAAAATCCCTGTGTACAATGACTAATGAGCACCCTAGCTATAAGTTGCTTAATAAACACATTTTGGGTGATTATTCCAAGTTTTTATCTCCCCATCAATACATTTGTCTGTGCGTGTGCAGAGTAACTCTCAACAGTTCCATTCTTGCAGTGTGTGTGAGGCTTCCCCTTTTATCATCACCACTGTTTGGTTTGCATCTTCTTTGTAGGGGGCAAAAGGGAAGAAAAGTGATGACTTATGGGATGGCCATCTGAAGGAGAATCCTGTCAATAAAAGCTGAGTAGAACAATTATGTGAGATCAGAATTCATTTTCAGTGCAACTTTAGCTACTTTCACATTTCAATTCTGGCATCCAGAGTATTCTCCGGATAAGTTTTGGTTTCTCATGTTATTAATGTGTCTGCATCTTGACATACTGCTGCTCCTCTGGGGATTCGTTGGATGGTATTTGTTCATCAACTGGTATGGCAACTGGCAGAATATAATTAATTTAGCCCTTTAGGCTAAAATTCGAATGAGTTGACTTGCCCTTTGTCAAGCTGGTGATTTCTATTCAGGATATTAAACCTCTGCATGGTTCTCCACAGGGTGCTTGCACAGCAATTAGCTCAGGAAGTCCTAGTCTTGCTGCTCGCCCTCTGGGAGGCAGTGGGCTGTCTACCGAGCACACTGAGTCTCCTTTCTCTCACAAGAAAGGTCACTTTTTAGGACTCTTCCCTTTTAATCCCTCAGGGAAAAAAGAAGAAGAAGAAGCAAGTCTTTATTTACTTTTTTTTTTTTTTAATAAGAAGGTCTATTTCAAATAGAAAATTCTGTTCCTTCAGTTGGTGGCAACTCACTGTTCGGTGCCAGGATTTCCACAATGTGTGACAACTAATTGCCACCAGTTGCTTCTCCCTAAGCATTTGTAGTTTGTATGTAGCTCACTGTCCTGGGGAAAAAACACATAGGAAATGGGGTGAGTGGATAGGACACCACACAACTCAAAAGTAAGACAACTGAAAAGGAATAATTCCATCAGTGAGACTAATTAAAGTTACTTGATGCCCTGATGCCATTTTATTTAGTAAGAAATCAAACTTAGTCCACAGTAGTTTGAGTTAGCTGTCAAAAATCAACTCTGATTCCTGTGATAAGGAACTGGCTTACCAACAAGGGTCGTTTAAATTCCAGGAAAAATGAGTTAAAATCTTGGTAGCCTTCAAGCGGCTTGGGGCCTGGTGAGAAGTATTTAATGTGACTTTATTTCAGGATATTTGGTTTTTAAATATAGGCCTCAGATTAAAATTAGTTCTCAGTAAACAATCATATATACATGGCAGAATGTGCTTTTTTCCTTTGTTAAGACACTCAGGGTTGGGTGCATTGGCTCCCCATTTATGTGCTCATTCATTCTTTCCTCAAACACTGAATGTACACTCTTGATCTCCCCATTTTGGCCTTGGGGATAAAAATGGTGGCCATGACACATGGCCCTATACTCAAAATATCAATACTTACTAGTCTAGACTAGGGATCTGTAGAATCTCTCTGTAAAGTGCCAAATAAATATTTTAAGTGTTCTGGGCCTTATGGTATCTGTTCAGATTTTGAAGCTCTATTGCCGTCATGTGAAAAGTGGCCATAGTCAGTTCTTGGATGAATAGGTCTAACTGTGTTCTAGAAAAACTAATTACAGTAACATGCTGTGGGCTACATCAGCCTGCAGGCCATAGTTTTTGGACCCTGACTTAATAGATCTAGTGGATAGGTAGGAATTTCCTGTGATAAGGGCTTGGGTGGGCCAGGTAAAGGCTTCTGTGACCACATGGGAAGGGGAGCTGACTGCATGGGGGAATGGGTAGTCTGTGTGGCTTTCTGGAACCATGGTGTTCACACTGAGGCCTAAAAGAGGTGAAGGAGTAGCTAGCTACAGAGGACAAGACTGGGGAGGTGAATGAAGAGGTGGCAGATGTGGAGAACTGGACAGGAAGCACTAGAAGTTAGCATCACTGGAAAGCAGAGAATCAGCTGAAGTGTGACAAGAAGCCCTTCTTGGTCTGTAAGGATTGGATGTGCATAATAAATCTTTAAAAGAAAAAAAAAAGACTTGAATGTGTTTCCATTTCACTTGGAGGTTCTGACCCTCAAATTACTTTTTTGTAGCAGATCTGGAGTTTGGAACTTTCTTTCATGAAAATGATGGAAACAGTTTTAACGTTTGCTCAATTTACTATCAGGACTTTACATTAGAAACAGACTGGGAAAAATGAATCATGCTGATGTGCATGACTGCTGTTTAGTTTGACAGCTGACCTGGAGGGAAGTGTATGGCTGGTTGGGAGCATAAAGAACTCCCCCCTGATGTCACTTGTGGTAGGGTAGGCCTCTGAAGCTGCAAAGGCCTCTTCCATCTCGGGCATGCAATTAATGTTGTCACTTGTTGATTAAGGAGTCTATGGAAAGTAGTCTGTCATGGAAAGAGCCCCAGTCTACACAAGAGACATGTTCAAATCCGGTGCCAATACTTAGCCAGCTGTCAGAATTAGGTGTTACCTAAACTCTGTCTCAGTGTTCTTATCTGTAAAAGACACTACAGATTATTATTAGAGAAACTAACCGCTACAAACCCTCAGCATTGGTGCCAGGCTTATAGGAAGTACCTGGAAACATTTAGTCTTTATAGCTTGCCTGCCCTTTCAGTCCTGTTTGCTGTGGATCAAGAGAGGTGGGTGAGTGCCACTAATCGGGTCCACAATTGGCAGAGAAGCGCAAGGCTCTCATTCTTCAAATGACACCAGAAACACTGTTTTCTTGCAGGATACTGCTTTGTGACTCTGCTGTGTGCTTCAAAAAGAAACAACAAAATAAATTAGGAAGTACAGTAGAGCAGACTTTAGCCACATTGCCCATGAAAGCCACTATGATCTTACGGCAATGAAATGTAAATGCATGCATGTTAAGTCAGTATGAATGCAGTGAATCTTCCTTCCATGTTCATTATACATAAGGTGAAGTGGTTTGCCATTTCTCATCCAGTCAGGGATTCCCTCCTCCACAGGATACATAGTGGCAGTATCAGTGTGGTGGACAATGGCCTCTGGCCAATCTCTCTACTCATTCATTTTTGGCAGGTTCCCTTTGCTCATTTTACCAATTAGAGGCTCAATTTGTAAATCCCATCAGATTCTGCATCCTAGCCCTGTGATAGAATAGAATAACTGGGACAGGCGTGTTTTTGCAAGGTTCCCATTAGCTTATGCTAATATTCTTAAGTACTTGTGACCCCATCAAAGAAATCTGACAGCACCTCTGGGCTTCTCTTAGGCAACTGAATGAAAGTCAGGGAGGAAACAAGGGGTAAAGTTTTATGTCTTCATTGCCAGCTGTAATTGTGGCTTTTTTTTTAAGATTTTATTTATTTTTACGTAGAATACAGGCCCGAGGTACGGAGCTGAGCAGACTCACCAGAAACAGAGTAGGGAGCAGAACAGGCAGATCTACTGAATTACACTGCTGAGTGGAGCAGTCAGTGAAACGGGAAGGGTCATCTCCCTGTCAGGGGATTCAACGTGCTGTAGTAGCTGCTGATAGCTTCATAGTGCTGAGAATTAAACCTTTGCACCACCAGGGAGACCCCTGTAATGGTGGCGTTTCTGACTGTCTACCTGGTTTAGAAATGAGAAGACAAGGAAAATGATAAGTGCTGGGGGAAATAAAGGCCTGGGACAGAGGATGACTGCTAAGCAGTGTGAAAGCTTTGTTAGCAGGAGGCTGAGGTCTCAATACCTTCCCATCCTGTTCTTCTCCAGCCCCAGGCTCTCCCCAGTCGTGACTTCTAGCTGGAAACCTCAGCAAGCCCCTAAAAAGGCTGTACTGTACACAGAAATTAGGCTCTGTGGAAATAAAAGAATTCAGAAGTTTTGCGATTAAACATAAACAGTGAAGTCAAGACACAAAATGTCATTCAAAATGCCATGGGCAAACACCTCATTAAACAAAACAAAGCTCTTCCTTGTTCAGTGTTTTGTTGATCTCTTAGTATTGAGTCAGTGTTTGGACTAACTTGTTAATAAGCTTAGTGTAATGTAGAATCCTTTGTAATTTAACGCAAATACTTTTTAGCAGCTTGTCAGTTTACCTTTAATTTGGGTTTCCTTTCTTTTAGATACATAAAAGTTTTAAATGTTTAGGGAATCAATTACTTTTATTTTTTCCCTTGTCATTTTTTTTAAAAATCACTTTTTAAGTTTAGAAAATTCTTCTTCCCCCATTTACCAGAGACAATGCTAATTATATTTTATT